TATAACTATGAGAAAAACAAGTTTGGAAAGGTCAAGAAAGCCAATTTTGGTGGGTAAGTAAAGCTGATGTTTGAGAAGAGATTTGCCCCGACTCCAGCTCTAAATCATTTATTTTCTAAAGTATCCTACTTTCCTAACAGGGAAGGAATGTATAAATGTTGAGAAAGGTTAGTTGTCTGTGTGTGAGAGGATGGACAAGAGGCCTCGCTGGTCTCGGAAGACTTACATTCAGAGCTGCAGTCCAGTTCCGCAGCAGGGACTTCAGTGTTTCCTCAGTGTACCAGCCTTGGAAGACTGCCACTTGCACACCCTGCCTCTCCCTTCCCCACCACCTGGGCAGCCCCTGGCCCTGCCCTCTGCACCTGAAAGCACTTTCAACTTGCTATGTTAATTCTGAGCCTTATCAGGCTTATTGTCCCCTACCTTTAGAATGAAGCTGCAAAGACAAGGTTTTGTTTTATTTTTGTCTTTTTGATCTCTGAGATACTAATTGAAAGCATTAAGAATCATGTGTGGCACCTATATGGTTGGTAAATACTGTTTGAAGGTAGGAAGGTTTGAGTTATTAGGGAGCAAAACCAGTATGGAGCCCTACCGAGGCCAGGCTTGTGGAAGTGTGTGTGTCTTGTGTGTTGTAGATGCCCTGGCGGGTAATTAGGAATGTTAGATACTGTCTATGAAGTGTGGAAGGCAAAGTGAGTTGAATAGTCTTGAAGGACAGCAGTGCAGTGAATGAATCTTTCCAGTGACCACAGTCAGGGAGCTGCCTTGGATACATAGTACTTCCCACATGTTACTCCTTGGTATTTTCTGAGAGCAGAGCAGAGAGTCAACCTATCTATGGGAGACTTCGTAACCTTCAGTTAGGTCATATGAATATCACAATTTGGAATGAAAAAATGTAGTTTTCAATCTTAATTTATCACAAAGGCATGAAATGGTCATTTCCCTCTTTTTTCTAAATGATTATTAAAGAAGTTTAATAATCTTTTTTTTTTTTTTTTTTTGTACCAGGGATTGAACCCAGGAGTGCTTAACCCCGAGCCACATCCCTGGCCCTTTTATTATATTTTGTTTCAGACAGGGTCTCACTGAGTTGCACAGGTTCTCTGTCAGTTGCTGAGCTGGGTTTGAACTCAGGATCCTTCTAATCCTCGCCTCCTTAGTCACTGGGATCTCAGGTGTGTGCCACCATGCCTGGCATACCTTTTCTTAAATTCTTTGTTTTACATCTAATAGTAACATGATTTTCATAGAACTTGAGGTGCAGAGTTTTTAATATTAGATTGCAGCTTTTCCTGATTAGCTTTTTTTTTTTTTAAGATTATGTTTTAAAATAGTGTTGTATGGGTAGAGTGAAGGACAAATGCAGTGTCCATCCTGTGAGAACCTCTAGGTCAGGTTCTCACAGAGTTCACAGCAAGGAAATGAATGCCTCCTACAGGGCACTCATTTGTTTTTTATATTAAGCAATCAAAAACACCTCAGCCATAATTTTCTGCCTTTGGTTTCCAGAAAGTATATTATCTTTAACTCTTATGTTATATGTTTTCAGACATGATATTTTGGTTCCCTTATCACTATTGACTTTCTTTTTTCTATGCTAATCGTCTGCTTATTTTTTTCTGCTTAGCCTTAATAAGATGGCTTTTATTTTTCCTCATGATAAATGTGACAGTGATGTGCATTTTCTCTGTTCAGGGGATTCCAGAACATCCTTGAACCTGTCAGAGTGCAGGGTCTCTGCTCCAGATCCTGACTGGGTAACCAGGGAGTGCCACCAGCGGTCGTTCTCCCACTGACTGGCTGCAGGCCACCCCTGCCTGGGGTGGGTACTGCAGCAAGTAGCACCAGAGCAGGAGTGGGTGTTGGCAGGCTCACACAGTCCCAGCAGCACGGGAACATCTTGGGGCCAACACAGAGAGATGCCACAGGCAGATGTAAGAATTCTGTGGGGTTTTTTTTGGAAGGGCTGTGCATATTTGGCACCTCCACCTGGTCATGTGCACTGAACGCTGATTTTTTTGTCCTCACGCACAAGGTTGTATTTTGGAATCCATCTATTAGGGAAAAGACTCACTATTCACATTGCAGTTTATTGTGATTATAAAAATTTGGGAATCTGTAGAGGAAAAAGATACTAGTAAAGATGCATATTTATGTTTATGTATGAAGTCTATGGTTGCATTTTTTTTCACTTCAGACTTGTGAAAAGACATGAAATACTGTAGAAAAAATAATTTTTAATTGCAATCCATTTGTGTGTATACAAATAAAACTTTATAAAAATGTATACAGCAAGCCAAGGTAAGCTTCTACAATAGTACCGTATCGCCCTCCCCTCTAAAGTGACTGAACTATGGACAGCTTTTCATGTAAATAAATATAAACATTTGCCATCATTCTTAGCCACTGCATTTTTGGATTATGTATCTATATTTTTATTTTAAGTCTTTTCAGAGCCTTTTATAAGGAATATGCTAGAAAATAACAAGAAAAATATTTGTATATTGTAAGAATAAGAATCTTTTTCAACTCTTTAATGCTTGATTTTAAGTAGATCTTATTTGTATCTTCTATAATAATTTGTTAAACTTATTTAGGTTACTCTGATTTTTTTCTTTCATAGTTTATTTTTCTTAAGGGGTATTTACTTTTGATTGCGATTTTTATAGATCATATAGTAAGAAAATTCAGTAATTCCTTACTGATTCTAAAGTGTATTAGTTAGTGGATTCTGATCCCCAGCCCTAATGAAGTTTGCCTCAAAGCCAAGCACACAGTGAAGAATATGACAAGTGGCCACAGACCTTTGACCAAATTGGTGGCTATGTGAGCACAATAGTATTAGTGTAATCTGAATTTCTTTAAGCTTTGTAATTAAGGTGGATTTTTAGTAAAATCCCATTTTGTATCAAAGGAAAAATCAGCAAATGTGATCACAAAAAGTAATGAATATACACACAATTACAAGGAATTATAAAATACTTAACATTGAGTAGTTACCATGAAAGGTATACCAGTAAGTATTTACCTAAAAAGTTTTTAGTACTTACTGTGAAATCCCTTTGGGGAATGTTTTTTTTTTTTTTCCATGAACTATTCTTGCTAAGGCTTTTAGAAATTATTAAAATGATGTTTTGATTGTGGATTCTTTATATGTTTAAAAAAATGAATTTGTCTTTAACAAGCATAGATAAGGTTTTCCTAAAACATCATTTCCTTGCTTATTCATCTCCCTGGAATGCAAGCTGCTGGGAGCAGAGATAAGTGACTGGTGCATACGTTTCCTTGGTACTCACTTGCTGAATGAAACAGTGTTTGTGGAGTCCCTGGGCAGCCTGGGAATCAGTGTCCTCTGTCGTGAGCCTTTTGGTTGCCAGTGAGTGGTTCCAAATCTTATGTCAGTGGAATTTCCTTCTTTTCCATGGTTCTGTACCCTTTCATTTCAAAGCGGGCTTCCTTGCTGGACTGTGTGAAGTGCTGTTTCTGCTTCCAGCTCTCCATTCAAGGTGCAGGTGGAATCTGCAGGGGAGGAAGGCAGCATGGAAGTCGTGGCTTTAGCCCCAGGGTCCCCATGCAGGCTGTGTGGACTGGCAGGAGGAGGCAGTGCTGTTGCTTTTCACTCTGAATATGCTCTTTGAAGGACAACAAAGGCAAACTTGTTCTGTAAAGGTTCATATTGTTAGGACAGTGTTTCACTTTAAGGCACCTTCCTCTAGTCGGCATAGCCAGTGACTGCAGGTCAGAGCTTTCACCAACAGTGTGTGTGTGTGTGTGTGTGTGTCTGTGCATGTGCTTTCTAGCATAGACATGATTACTAGGGCAGATACTGGGCTCAGGGACCAGCTTGGAACCTACTAGTTGACAGATGATGTGATTTGGAACTAGATTGTCATCGGTAGGAATGGGTAGTAAGTAGTGAACTTGAGAAGAATCGAAGGATTAAAGAGCAAACAAACATCAGGAATCAGTGGCCAGTTAACATGGACATGAAGAAGGAAAGAGAATAATAACCTTGTCTGAATTCCTGAACCAGAGATGTGGGGCATGTTTTACCCACTCATGCTTTGTGGTGACACAGGATGTGTCAGTGCAGTTATGCTAGCAGCTAGACTGGGGTTGACTGCTAAGGAAGACACAGTGCCCATGAACCTGTAGTCTGCTGCAGGATAATGACACAGTGCAGCACGCCATCATGTTAAGGCTGCCGTCTGGCAAGGAACAAAGAGTCTGGGGAGGCCAGGTTGAACTCCAGTAGCATTCCCTCTCTGTTAGTGTCATACAAATGCTCTCTGGGTCACAAGACATTCAGAACCCGTAGATGGAAAGGGAATCTCTGCCAGCATGTTTCTCACACCCTGGTGATCATATAAGCGTCCTTTTTTCCTGTAGCAGCTCCAAGAGAAGAGCCTTTGAAGGGGATAGCGGTCTCATCTGGACCAGGTACAAGCCATCAGTCTCACTTGGCAGTCAACAGTGCTGTGGAGCTGGTGTGCGCAGCTCAGCTGCTGGGGCCCATGGTGCCGAGAGCACCGTTAGCAAGTGTGGTTCTTGCTGGGCCAGAATGCCTGCAGTTACAGGCCTTATTTCAGCAGGAGAGCTGAGACAATTCCAAGTCTGCTGGGTTGAGTCCTCACAGCACAAGTGTCGTATTCACTGGGGTTGTATCATGTAAAACAGTGCAAGTGTTGAACCCCATCGAGATAATGTATTGCTTAATATGCCTCAGTGTGGCCATATTTTCAGGTACTTTGAAATCTTGAAAAGGTAATCTGGAAATGCCCTGCTGTGGTGATGGTATTTTGTTTTTCCTCTGTAATTAGTGTTTGCTTAGATTTGTTATGTTTAACCTTTATAGTTTTTAAAAAATAAAGTTATAAGATTTTCTAAGAGGAAGCATTGCAAAAGAGCCTTGAATTTGTTGAGAGTAAATGACATGTTCTGAATTTCAGAAACTTCTCAGAGTTTCTAATTGTGTTTTCTCCTTCATCCCTCAGATGAATCAGCTCCTAAAGAAGTCAGCAGGGTAAGTAATGTAAATATCATTTCTACTACTGTTACAGGAAATAAGAATGTCTCTGTACATTTTCTCAGTATTCTAACATGTTAAGGTGTCAGAAAAATTGTGGCAAAAGCTGAGTGCCCTCTCAAAACATCTCTCATTCACACGAAATCATTAGCTGAGTAAGGTTGCAACTTGGAGGCTGCAAGGTTGAGGACCTCTGACAGATGCATTTAGCATGGCTGGCATGTGCTTATGGGGTTTTCTGAATCACTGGCCAATATTTAGAAGTGGAAATACTATAAAAAGAGTTGGATTTCTACGACACTTCCAGAAATACTAAAAGCACCATTTTCATGTCCCAGAGAAATACTTAATGTCGACTTTTGAGATTTAGCAAACTTGAAAACTCAAGAGGGTATGAGGGTTGAAAGCATTCAGCATCTGGATTTAAGAGTGTAAAGTTATTAGTTATTTCATAAGAAAAAAGTCTTCTAAATTTGGATTAAATATTGAAAATAATCAGTTTCAATTATATCAGATGCAACCTAATGTAAGAAATAACTGTTTTCTGTAAGATATAAATTTAATTACAACAGAATCACATATGGAGATTATTTATTTATTTTCTTTATTTTTTAATTATATATTTTTTAGTTGTTGATAAATCTTTATTTTATGTATTTCTAAGTGGTGCCGAGAATCAAACCTAGTGCCTCACACATGCCAGGCGAGTGTGCTACCACTGAGCCACGGCCTCAGCCCTTACTTCTTTATTTTTGATTGTACGAAGGAAAAAATTCTAAAATGATGAGGGGCTGGGGGGCTGGCGGCCAACAGGACTTCCTCTGACCCTAGCAGCCTGACAGACTGATGGGCTTCCCTGTATCCCAGCACTCTCTCAGGTGCTGGCACCTTCTAATTTCACTTCTCTAGAGCTCTGTGTGGGAGAGTTGGTGAGTCTGTGTGCCCCAAGATGTGCGGAGAGGTGAAAAGGGCAGCCCAGGATCTTGGCTTTTGCTAGGAGCAACAAAATAACATTATAAACTGATGTCTGAGGGTAAACGGGGATTGGGACAGGTGAAATTGACCAGGGTTATACAATCCTGGGTTCTTGAAACTGGCAAAGTTGCTATATCACATTTTTGAAGCTGTACCAAGCTTTCTATAAACCAAGGGTTAGTAGGAAGAAAACCGCAGTTTATTCATCAATAATCTTTTAAAAAACAGACTCAGTTTCATGTGTAGGGAATGGCTAAACTCAGTTAACTCTTTACAACCTTGAGATTTTAGACTTTGTTGTTATTTTTGAGGGAAGTTGGAGAAGGAGTGCTCAAAATAGGCGCTTCCCATCTGAGTGTTTTCCTTCTGTGCTGCTGTGTTGATAACAGAGATTAGAGTTGCACCTCGGACACCTTTCTTGTGTCAGTGAATTTTCTCTGTTCAGCTGTTTAGTGAAACCATGTCCCTTGGCCTCCGGCAGCCCAGGTTTCTAGCCACAGGACTAGGACTGGCTTTGCTGTGGTGCCCTGTTGTGTTGTGGGGTGGTGACACAACGGGAGCTTGTATCTTGGACGTGCTCTGCTGGGCTTGCTTCCCAGTGATGTGGAGCGATTCTGTCCTCACTGGGCGTCACAGTGCCGCATGGTGTCTTCAGGCCATCAGAAGCAACGGGGTGGAACTATACATAGTGATGTTCTTTGCTCTTATTTTCTAAAATTCTCTTGTGCCAAATTTAAAGAAAGCCCATCTCTGAGAATTGCTCCGTGTTTGAACTGATATCCTAGAAAAGCCTCAGATCTCTGAAGTTTTTGTATTCCCTCATGAATAGGCCCCACTTCTTAATCAATGCTTATTTCACTAATACTCCGGGTTTCCTTTTAGAATAGTGTGCCACAGATTCAGACTGGGAATTAGAAATACTGAGGGCCACCTTTTGACGTGTTGACTGGCCACTGGGCTTCTGTTTAAACGCATCCACTGTCAAAAAACCCCTCTAGAAGGAGGTCCCAGGCCCAAGGCCCGCCATCCCCTCCTGGGCATCTCCAGTTCCTGTGCAGTTCCTTCTCCCTGGGAGCCAACAGCCTCCCCTTACTGGCCATCCCTAGAGTTGGTTGTGCTTTCATGGAGTCTTACAAAGGCTTCCGTGCAACCTACTGTGTGTATGAGCTCTTAGAATACAGGCAATGTGTTCTTTCTACTCCGGCAAATCCTTTTAGATTTCTTTTCTTCCTGTATACTTCTTTAGGATCTGGGCTGACATTCTTTTGACAAACATATTGTTAATATATTTTTAAAATATGGCAGCTATTACATAATACTACAGACCAATTGTGGTTTGAGCCCAACAAGGTGAGGGGGAAAGATACCTGTCTTGGTTTGGAAGGGGTACACTGTGGGTGGGAGGTCTGGAGGGTGCACTGTGGGTTCAGTTGTAAGGGAGGTCTGGAGGGTGCACTGTGGGCACAGCTGTAAGGGAGATTAGCTTTTCTAAGAACCATAGGGCATTTCTGTAATTGACCTTTCAGTAAACTACTTTTTTTTTCCTTTTTGTGAAACCAAGTCAGACCTGTGTCTTCTGTTACTCTTCTCCTGTTTTTTTCCTCTCCCTTTGTCTTCCCACCTGCCTGCTTACCTGTCTTTCATTGTTCTAGGGTGCTGGGAATACATCGTGAGCAAAATAGTTTTCTGGTTCTTATATTCTAGAAGGAGCTGGTGGAGATAGTTGAAAAACAGTTTTTGAAATACATTTATCAGCCATTGATAAATAATATGATAAGTACATAGAAGAATGAAGAAGAATAGGGAGATAGCCAGTTATGGTGGATAGGCAATGGTCAGGAAATGTTAATGGGTTGACATTTGAGCAGGCATCTGAAGGGAATAAGAACATCAGCCATCAGGAGGCAGCACTTGCAAAGGCCCTGAGGTGGCCAGGGACTGATGCTGAGTGAGTATAGGAAAGTGAGTAGGAGAAGAAGTTAGAGTGAAAGAGTCTTTCAGGTTTTACATTCACTCTGTAGCCTTTGGATTTAATTTTGGGAACAGTTGGAAGTCATCAGGGAGATTGTATAGAGAAGAGCAGTGACCTGACTTACAGGTGAAGAGAATTCTAAGCTGCTGACTTGGGAGCACACAGGAGGCAGGGCCGAAATAGCCCTGGCAGGATACCAGGAGTGCAGGCGTGGAGGGGGGTGTCCAAGACGAGGGTGTGAAGGTGGCACGTGAGCAGAGGTTGGCATGTGAGGAAGGAGCAGCTGATGGACTTGCTCCAGGGTGGTGTTTGGGGTGGGAGGAGAGGAAGCAGACTCCCAGACTTTTGGTGGACTGATTCCTTCCACTGCCAATGGGAAAGGTGATGGAGGAGTGGAGTTGAAGGAGGTGGAGAGATCAGCAAGTTGACTTTGAACATATAGACTTTGGCTTATCAGGTGTGCAGTTAAAATATTTAGAAAACGAGTGAGTATGTGATCATGTGCAGGAAAGTTCCCTAGTGGGGTCATGTTCCCTAGTGGGGTCATGTGGAGCACATAGATGTGAGACTAAACGACCTTGTCTAGGGGGCTTGTCTGCGGAGGAAAGAGTGGAGATCTGAGCACTAAGCTCTGGTCACTGCAGTGGGTGGTGGGAGATGTGCAGGAGCCAGCAGACAGAGGAGGAGAACCAGTGAGGTAGGTGGGACCAGAAGGCGCCCGCATGGGTGTGCTTTGTGTTGGAATCCTGATGGCAGGACTGTACACCCTGCTGAGAGTCTCAGTTTCATTTATGTTGTCTAACAGATCACACATTTCTGTGTTATTTTAAGCCACGCTTTTTAGTAGTTTTTGCTAGTTGTTTTTCTATGCCCTTTAAAAAAAATTATCTTAGGCCAGTGCTGATGGTTAATAATGTGAGATTATGTTGAATGCTTTCTTGAAGCCAGCATATTTTGACCAGTCTCATATATTTTTCTAATCATATGTCAACAAATACTAATTCCGCCCCTGCTTTTCTAGGCTCTTGGAAAACATCGAGAAACTAGACAGAAGGAATTCCTGTCCTTGTGGCATTTGCCTTGGGTGGGGATTGAGTCAGAGATCACACATGAAGAGCGCGTGCCTGTGGGGATAGACAGGGGCAGGCCACCAGGGTGGTGCTGGGCTGGGTGTGTGGCCTGGGGAGCTCTCCTGAGGAGAGACCTGGGGCAAGTGGCCAGGTCCTGGGTGGCAGGCTGGGGAGACTGCAGAGCCCAGGATCAGCCCCCTCTCTGTGCCTCCCTTGTTCTCATGGAAGCTGCACTCTGAATCCTTCCTGTCGCTGTGAGTGACTCTCACTGCTGTGGTGATAAAGCAGTTCCCGTTTAGAAGTAAGAAGGATTCCTGACAAGAAGGGGAGAGAACACCAACACGAGAGACAATCTGGGTGCCGAGTTGCTCGAGGAAGACAGGTGGCAGCTGGTCTGCGTTCCAAAGGCTGCTGCGGGTGTTCTCTTGACACGCTCATGTCCATAGTTGTGAGGGAGAAATCTGAGCCCATTCTCACTTTTCTTAGTAAAATGGGTTTTTTTTTTTCATTTCTAAATACTTATAAAAACTATCACTTGCTCTTATAATATATGTAAATATTTTAACTTTTATTAACTTAGCCAAGTATCCAGGAGCTTTCTCCACCATGGTAAAAGACGTTCTTTAGTTCACAGTCTTCTTACCTTCATTTCCTGGTGCCTTGATTCTCCCCATTTGTTTCATTCTCTTCAAGATCACCAAGTACCTGTCTCTCCTTTTCTTCTGTTCTTTGAGTACTTGTTCTAGAAACACTCACATTTATTCTGTGTCGTTGACTTGAACTTCAGCATAATTCCCTTGTTTCTGTTTCTAATTTCACTTAAATTCATAATGGCACTTTTAATTAAAATCACATATGTGTTTGGGTGATTCTCTTCATTTCAGCCTGTCTTAGGATTGCGTTGACAATCTCATAGTGTTCATTCCACTTGAATTTTCTTGAGAGAGTTCACAGCAAATGCTTTCCCAGAGTTCATCTTG